TTCTGTAGGGATGAATGTGATTTCAGTGCAATTGTCATTTGTTTGAGTTTAGGGAAATTTTTTGCAAGCACGCAATCGCAGTTTTGATCCGAAACCAAGTAAAAATTAGTACCTGAGAAATATATATTGCAGAGATGGAGGAGAGATGTGAACCGACCATACACGATGGTTCCGATCAATTACGATGGTTGGATCAGTACTCCGGACCAAGTTAGATATGAGCAAATGTGCAATGCATTTACCAAGTTAGCTGATTTNATGAGCAAATGTGCAATGCATTTACCAAGTTAGTTGATTTGGTAGCATATGACACATCGTGATCGGATGAAATTATTAAGTGGATTGAACTTCAAACCATACAGTAATCCATGTTGAAGTCTAGAATTCAAGTCTCCCACAACTTTGATGAAGCATGAAAGCGTGATAGTGGAATCACCTTCGATCCGAAATACACAAAAAGCAAAGGAGCTCCCAAAAAACTTCGTCGAAAGGGACATTCTGAAACTAGTTCAAATAAATCAAAAAATTGTCAAAATGTTTGATACTTTATTTATTTTCGTGTGTTTGTGATCAACATTTTGTAATCGTAAATCATTAGTTTTTTTTTCATGCCGCTTAGGGGCCAACGAAGTCAAGTACATCAAAAAGGCATAAAGAAAATGATTCGACTTCATTCAATGATCAGGTTAGTCGACCGTACATTAAACTATAACAAATTAATTGAGTTTAGTTTTGAGATGTTCGTAATTCTTTTCCAATTTCATTTTGCAGGATGTTCAATTAAAAAACATCCCTCATCACAGCCATCAACAAGTCGGCACACAAGAGAGCGTGTCTGGTTATGATTTTCGGATGTAAAATAGCTTAAAATGGATACATTTTTTAAATGATTATTTTGTTAAGCTATTGTGTTGGCCGTACTTTTTGTAATATTGTTGGATTTCATCTTCTGTTGGCAATTTCATTGAGGTTTAAGGGATAGCATATTTTGACTTCTGTTGGTTATGTAATTTCGTTGGATTTCATCTTTTGTTGGCAGTTTCATTCAGGTTTAAGGGATAGCATATTTGGACTTCTGCTGGTTATATTAAATGAAAAGATGTGGTGTTGCCTATTTCATTGTTAGTTTGGAAATAAATGGAACTATTCAAAACATTGTGTTTTTCCCACATAATGGCCACCAACAAACAGTGGCTTGAATTTAGCTTAAAACTTGCAGTTTACCAACAAACAGGGGCTGAAAGTTGTATTATTGGGGGTGGATTGTGTTGTTGGATGGTTAATGTGATGGGCGAAGGTGAGGAAGAGGAATATAGGGGATGTGGGTGATGGTACTGAAAGGTGACGTTCATAGTAATGTGAATTGGCAATGAAGACATGGTGAATCTAGGAAAAATTATCCATGATAGCTCATTTTCTTGTTTGAATGTGGAATGGGATTCCTGCTGTCTTTATGCTCCAGCCATCTCACCTTTGAGACTTCCTCATAACTCTTTTCTTTTATCTCCTAATTCTCCAGCGCGGCGTTTTATGGAAATTGACATTAAACCATTACATTGTGCAATGCATTTTGCCATTAACTTGATTTGGTAGCATATGACACATCGTGATCGGATGAAATTATTAAGTGGATTGAACTTCAAACCATAGAGTAATCCATGTTGAAGTCTAGAATTCAAGTCTCCCACAACTTTGATGAAGCAGGAAAGCGTGCTAGTGGAATCATCTTCGATCCGAAACACACAAAAAGCAAAGGAGCTCCAAAAAAACTTCGTCGAAAGGGACATTTTGAAACTAGTTCAAATAAATCAAAAAATTGTCAAAATGTTTGATATTTTATTTATTTTCGTGTGTTTGTGATCAACATTGTGTAATCGTAAATCATTAGTTTTTTTTCATGCCGCTTAGGGGCCAACGAAGTCAAGTACATCAAAAAGGCATAAAGAAAATGATTCGACTTCATTCAATGATCAGGTTAGTCGACCGTACATTAAACTATAACAAATTAATTGAGTTTAGTTTTGAGATGTTCGTAATTCTTTTCCAATTTCATTTTGCAGGATGTTCAATTAAAAAACATCCCTCATCACAGCCATCAACAAGTCGGCACACAAGAGAGCGTGTCTGGTTATGATTTTCGGATGTAAAATAGCTTAAAATGGATACATTTTTTAAATGATTATTTTGTTAAGCTATTGTGTTGGCCGTACTTTTTGTAATATTGTTGGATTTCATCTTCTGTTGGCAATTTCATTGAGGTTTAAGGGATAGCATATTTTGACTTCTATTGGTTATGTAATTTCGTTGGATTTCATCTTCTGTTGGCAGTTTCATTGAGGTTTAAGGGATAGAATATTTAGACTTCTGTTGGTTATATTAAATGAAAAGATGTGGTGTTGCCTATTTCATTGTTAGTTTGGAAATAAATGGAACTATTCAAAACATTGTTTTTTTCCCACATAATGGCCACCAACAAACAGTGGCTTGAATTTAGCTTAAAACTTGCAGTTTACCAACAAACAGGGCTGAAAGTTGTATTATTGGGGGTGGATTGTGTTGTTGGATGGTTAATGTGATGGGAGAAGGTGAAGAAGAGGAATATAGGGGATGTGGGTGATGGTACTGAAAGGTGACGTTCATAGTAATGTGAATTGGCAATGAAGAAGTGGTGAATCTAGGAAAAATTATCCATGATAGCTCATTTTCTTGTTTGAATGTGGAATGAGATTCCTGCTGTCTTTATGCTCCAGCCATCTCACATTTGAGACTTCCTCATAACTCTTTTCTTTTATCTCCTAATTCTCTAGCGCGGCGTTTTATAATCAACATTCTCTTTATGGAAATTGACATTGGGAGTTTTGGGCAAGTATGGGAGCATTAACATTAAACCATTACATTGTGCAATGCATTTTGCCATTAACATTATACCATTTCATTGTCATTAACATACAATCGCTAAAGATAAAATATTCAATCACCATCTCATTACATCAAAGTTCATAGAACATCTTCTGAACCTCGTTTTCCCTTGCTTATTGTTATGATGTTGAGGGAAATTTCAATGTCCTTTTTATCGATTATTTTCGCACATGTTTCCAACATACGTGACTAATCATCAATATGTTCACTACCATTAGTGATGCCACTTGATTGACCTTCATCTTGCAATGGATATGCTACGTTGAGAGGAGATTTATTCCAATTGAAAAATTGATAGATGTCGTGGGTACAACAGTGGAACAAAAGACCGTTGTTAACGGTTTGCTTTTCCACCTTCATCCATTTAATGTAGCATTGGCCACAGTTTGGGCATCTTCTCTTTTTGGGGCAATCTGATAACGTGTGCCTTGGCCGTCTACATGAATGACATATCCCCTTATTCTTTCTGGCCATCGAAGAATTCTAATAGAAAAAATGAAAAATAACCACATCACAATAATCTCTGAATCAACAATTAAATGTAAATGCAACATCTACACATAATAAGCAAGAAAATATATAAACTACTCAATTCCGAAGTTTTGACTGCATAAAATCTATAAACATGCTGAACCAACTAGAACAAACTATTACGTGACAGAGTTGGGAAAATTGATTTCCATACATTCCGCTTAGTTGAAAATTATAAATTTCTATGTCAATAATCCAACACTTAAATGAAGCATTCGACAAATACAACAAACCATTAGTTGAAACCAACTTCGTTCAAAACGGAAAATACCAAGTATACGCAATGATTTTTCAAATAGCAAGTAAAGCCCAAAGTTTTTCAGAGATAATAATTGTCGGTAGTGGGCATGGGTGATTTCACCATTGGCGACATGGCAGATGAAGGAATTAACATTAAGGTGTCTCTCACACACAAAACGAAAAGGGAATAGCTACTAAACTGGAGAATGTAGATGTGCCGACGAGATTTCGTCACTGGAGGTGAGTCTTTTCTTAACTGTAGGTAGATGTGCCGGCGAGATTTCTTCAGTTGGTGCTGTTCGGGGAGGGGGGAGTGTAAGTTAAAAGTGGGTAAGGATCGGGAAAGGGGAGTGTGAGTTGAAAGTGGGTAGGGTTTGATTTGTGGCAGGATGGATCTGAGCATTTTGGAGTTTTTGAATTTCAAATTCATCTGCAGCGTGGCGATATTTTCAATTTGTGAGAGTGCCGAGAATTGACTTAAAAATATACCACGTCATCATTATGTAACACGTTCAGTAATCTATTGTGTACACAGATTTTTCCATCTTGTAAACTCCTTGTGCCCGTACTCTAATATTAACGTGGCTCTTTCGACTATCCCACACCCAAATATACTCGTTCTATTGGCGATTTGACCGTTAGAGTGCTCGCGTCCGTTTCCCTCGCCATCAGAGAAAGCCACATGCTTTAACAATTTGTCCAGATGTGCAAGAGTTTGTCTACATGGATGTGAGTGGAGTCGAAATTTGTTGGCTGCGTCGCTCATACAAAAATCGAGGTCACAAAATATTTTTTTTTCCCTTATTTTGCTGTGGCAGATTTCAAGCTATTTTCAATTATTGAAATTTTTTTAAAATGTTTTTTCTATTTTACCCTAGCTAGAAGATCGGTGATATCAACGGCTCGCATGACTCAAAAGAATGGACCCTCAAGAATATTCACTTTAATCTGTACTCATGTAGGGTTTCCAAAATTGGACTAGCATTTCCAAAACCCCATTCTTTCGCACCCTACCGTGGCCTCCCCCTCTCTCAATAAACAGTGCTCTCTGAGCATTTTTATCGAAGACCGTTCTCATATAAATTCATTTTTATTGAATTCCCTTTCTGGGTCCTCGCCATTCAATAGAAACTCAGTTTTTTGACAAGCAGTGTGAATTTGATACCTGTAAGTCTTTCTTACTTTCTTCTTTCAGTTATTTCCTGATTTGACGGAAAGAATTCTAATCGTATCTGAATTTTGTTCATTATTGATAACTTTTATTTTATTTATAGAATAAAGCTTGTATCTTTGGAGGGTGTGAGGATTAGATGGGGAAGTCTGGGGGTAGGAAAAAGAAGAGTGGTTTTAACCAAAACCAATCATCTGGAGGAGATAACTCAGATAAGGACCCCGCATCTACTATTAATGGTGGTGTTGAATTGGATTCATCTATTTTATTGAAAAGAGCCCACGAGCTCAAAGAAGAGGGGAACAGAAGGTTTCAGGCCAAAGACTATGTTGGCGCTCTTCAGCAGTACGATAATGCACTTAAACTTACTCCGAAAAAGCACCCTGATCGTTCTGTGTTTCATAGCAACAGGGCAGCTTGTTTGATGCAAATGAAGCCTATAGACTATGAGACTGTGATTTCTGAGTGTACTATGGCTCTTCAAGTGCAGCCACAGTTTATCCGGGCCCTTATAAGGAGGGCCCGTGCATTTGAGGCTATAGGGAAGTATGAAATGGCCATGCAAGATGTGCAGGCACTGTTGATCACTGATCCAAATCACCTAGATGTCCTGGAGATTGCTGGGCGATTGAGGATGGCACTAGGTCCTTGGCAAGAGGCACAGCAGGACCTCCAGAGCCGTCCCTCTCCAGCTGCTCTGGGGGCCTCTGCTGTTCGTGGGGCGCCAATTGCTGGCCTTGGACCATGTTTGCCAGCTCGACCTGTACCTAAGAAGCCCGCATCTTCAGCAGTGGGATCAACCATCCCTGCTAATATTAAGTCAGAAAAGCTTTATCCAATTCCACACATAGAAAATGGTCCTGAGACCAAAACTCAAATGCCGGGAGTTGTCTTGAAGCCGTCAGATGGTGCTTCGAAACCCCATTCAAATGCTAATAAAAATAGCAAAAAGGAACAGTCAATTTCTACATTGTCATCATTTCCCATTCGTGGTAAATCTGCGGAGACTGTTACTCGATGGAGGCCACTGAAGCTTGTTTATGATCATGATATAAGACTTGCCCAGATGCCAGTGAATTGCAGTTTAAGAGTGTTGAGGGATGTTGTTAGCGACCGTTTTCCAATGTCAAAATCTGTGTTGATCAAGTACAAGGACAACGATGGTGACTTAGTCACTGTAACATGTACAGCTGAACTTAGGATGGCAGAGTCCTCAGTCGACAAGCTTTTTCCAAAAGATCCTGACAATGATAAAAGAGACTCCATTTGTATGTTGAGATTAAATGTTGTTGAGGTGAGTCCTGAGCAAGAGCCGCCTTTATTGGAGGAGGATGAAGAGAAGCCTCTTGAGAGTGACAGGACTAAAGGAGATGAGAGTGTTTCACAATCTTCACTAGGTGATTCTGTGCTGGATACTGTAGACAGTGTTACTGATAAGGTGGAGAAAATAGCTTCAAAGGAGAAATCTGGCACATCAGACTATCCTGAATGCAAGGAGGTGGAGATGGATGATTGGTTATTTGAATTTGCACAGCTTTTCCGTACTCACGTCGGGATTGATTCTGATGCTCATATTGATCTGCATGAGCTTGGAATGGAACTATGTTCTGCAGCCCTTGAGGAAACCGTGACAAGCGAAGAAGCCCAAATATTTTTGGACAAGGCAGCCCTGAAGTTTCAGGAGGTTGCTGCTCTGGCTTTTTTCAACTGGGGAAATGTCCATATGTGTGCAGCAAGGAAACAGATTCCCGTAGATGAAATAGCTTCAAAGGCATTAATTGCCACACAGCTTCTAACTGCCTACGACTGGGTCAGAGAAAAATATTCTCTTGCTCGGGAGAAGTATGAGAAGGCCCTCTGGATGAAACCAGATTTTTACGAAGGATTGTTGGCACTGGGACAGCAGCAATTTGAAATGGCAAAACTCAATTGGTACTTTGTGTTAGCAAAGAAAGAAGACTTGTCTAAATGGGATCCTACTGAGACAATTAAACTTTTTGACAGTGCAGAAGAAAAAATGAAAGCTGCTACTGAAATGTGGGAGAAGCTGGAGGAGCAGAGATCTAACGAGTTAAAAGATCCAGGTGCAAGCAAGAAGGATGAATTGTTGAAGAGAAAGAAGTTGGGAAGTGGTGCAGAAAGCGATTTAGTGGAAATTTCAGCTGAGGAAACAGCTGAGCAAGCTGCAGCAATGAGATCTCAAATCCATCTATTCAGGGGTAACATGCTCTTTGAGAGATCCCAACTTGAAAGTAAATTGGGCTTGCCTGGTTGGAAGGAAAATCTGGATTCAGCCGTGGAACGATTCAAATGCGCTGGAGCCTCAGAAGCTGACATTTTGACAGTTCTGAAAAATCATTTTTCTAATGAACAGCCTGTTGAGGAGAAGGATAATAAGGACAAGGATCTGAATGCTGTTGTGACTCGTAAAGAAGATTGCAAAAATGCTGTCTCTGAAGTTTCAGGGGAATAGTATGATTTCAAGGATTGGGTTCTGATATTGCTTTCAATCGAATCTGTTAAATTACTCATTCATGTAATGGTTAGAGAAAAAGACTTCTACCAGTTTGCAAAATGGTGTAATTAGACCATTACTTCCCATATTGCTTTCAAGGAAGAAATTGACTACACGTATATTGGAGCGTTCTATTCTGGATTTTGGCTTTAGGTGTATCGGTGTTTTCCTCCTGGAAGATTGCCTTCAATTACAGAAGTTAACTATATGTCACAATTTTGATTTTTGACACTTTAGTCTGAACATTAAGCAAAAACTGGTTCTCCTTTCTTCCCTTACCTGTTATTATCATTTACTGCAATTTGATGGGCATTACCTAGTCATTTGTTGGTTATTAAAACTGAAGTCTCTGATGTCTTTGCATGTTCTCACTGAAAGTTTTAGCATATTCTTCTCTTCATTTAATTGAATATCCTCACTTAGTTATGCTCTGGTCTTGATAATCCGCTGAAGTTGGTGTCTGACATACGTACATGCGGGGAAAAAAATATCCAATAGATATGTTATGTGCCAAACTTTGTAGAAGAAACCATTTGGTGTGTTACTACTATTTTACTTGTGTATTTGTGCACAACATGAAAGGGACGCCGGGATTTATACTTTGTGCGTATAATGTATCTTTTAGGATGAGGGTGGAGAAATTAGTGTATCAGTAAGAAAGTACTTAAGATTTTCGTTAGTACAAACGGGAGAAACTTTTAACGTGGTGGTAGTGGTGTAAAATGTGTCTCCTCCCCGTATAGAGAACCAACTTGTCTTTTTGGCAGGCCGTATTAGGCTGGCCTGTTTATAAAAAAGTGAGACCGACCTCGATTGCCTACAGGCATGGCTAGTACTGGCCTGGACTGGTCACCGATCTCAAATAGGTTTTTTTTGTTTTCCTTCAGATTTCTTTATTGTTCCCTTAATATGCATTCTTTTAAAATAGCGGCCGGGTTGGTCCAAGCTGTCTGACCTGCAGGCCTGGATATGGGTGAATCCCATCAGAAGTGATTCTGCTTTAATGAATTGTGTGATTCGATTAACTGTGATAACCTAATTATATACGAATTATAGCCAACAAGTTATGATATCTGGAAGAGAGATTTCTTAAAGCATTCCACTACATTTACAGTAGAATTTTTTTGGGGATATCAATCCAGGTAAGCCCACCTCGAACTGGATGACATTATATATCAGGATTGCCTTCGTGGAAGTTGGTAAGCAAAGGATTACTTGAAATGTTAAAAAGGAAATCATTTTGGGATTCACAGAATCGCTTAATTATTCCTCAAATGATACTAGTTCTAACTTCTGCTAAAAACTACAGTACAAAAAAGTACATTTTTCTATTCCATGTGGAGGAGGGTTAACATCAGTGATTATGGCCCACGAGTAGTCTTTCTTGCACAAAAAATTGGTTTCAACGAGCACCATTATGCATGTGCATCTGCAAAAGTCCACCGAATATATTTGCTTTTCTTAAGGAGGTTCCCTTTTACATAAATAGTTTGGTCAGAGAAAAGTTCTGCACGAATTTTATATTAGACAAATTCTTTGATGAATAAAGTTTAGATCACTCTCTCATAAAGAAACATTATAAGCTTAAGACTCGGATAGAAGATAAGACTTTTATGCAGATGGACTATCTTAATAAATAGAATTGATCTCTTATCTACAGTGGATAGTATACAATATTCTCGATCTCCTGTCCTCAATGACAAAGATAAAAAATTTCAACATTTGACGTGGTAAGAGAACCTTATTTATGGTTATCTGAAACTATCATAAATTTAAAGAATCATAACTAATGGTCTCGTCTATCATGTCCACTGGCGACACGTCAATTTTGCTTAGTAAAATTAGAGCACAAAAATGCTTTGAAGTTATGCTAATTACTACTCAGACGTTAGTAGTTGGAACAAAATTACTTGTTTTTTCCATAGCCTTCCAAGCCTTCAAATCTTGGCTCTTTAGCCTGAATTTGAGACAATGATAGATCTTCATGTAGTCTTGAAACACGATTTTTGGGTACAAATCTTTATTCTCTTCTCTCTACCAATTTTGGTGCTGGATAGATCTCAGCGTCAATTCCAGGATTGTAGAATGAAGCAAAGGACATTCTGTTTGCGCAATCACTCGGTGCATCACACTCTTAATACTTTCCATTGGTGATCACCTTCACAATGAGGGAACATTAGAGTAGAATTATTGATTTTTATTTATTTAAAAATAAAAAATATATATTTTAGATATTTGGAGACACAAAGTTGCTAAAAAGTAACCAAACATTAAAGTTTGAGCACAAGAAAATGAAGTAACATAATTGGATAAATAATCTATTAAAACAAAAAAGCTCCCATAAATATATTACTCTTGAGATAAAATCAAAATTCTCTTAAACAACCATATTATTTTTGCGAATAAGAGTGAATAGTGTATTGATATTTTATACATTGGGCTTTCTTTTACATAATTAGTGTAATTGTTCAATAGAGTGAATTGTTAATATTCTTGCCTGAATGTGCAAAACAATTAACGAGAGATATTGAGATGGTTGACCCCAAAAAATGGTCATATGACGTGGCCAACAGAAAATTAGAGAATCGCTTCTTCAGATATCGAGTCACAACATACTGGAACTCAAATATGAATTGTAACTATGAATCTTTGTAGAGAATGATCAACTGTGTTCTGTATGGTGATGTTATGACAGTCTTTACAAATAAAAATGGGTCGACCGTTGCACATGGCGGCGAATCCATGTTTTCTCTCTCAATGTCTGAATTTCACCGCACCTTAACGTCTGGAGTTAAGGCTTTTTATAACCCCCCATGGGTAGATGGGGTCCGTCCGATTGCAAAGGATCCAAGGGTCCCTGTTAGAGTCAATCAATCAATGAAGCCATTAATGCTTAGATCCCCTTGTCTTTTCCCTGACACGTGATCTGACTGGCGAAGGTGTGTAGAGGAGGCATTGGCATGGTGTTGTCTTGTCAGTCATTTCATTTAATTTGCTTGGTCATCAAAGGCGAGCTGATGCCTGCATCGACGGGGCTCGGATGAGGAATATTTGGGTTGAGATCGCCTCGGCATGCAGAGGGTCGCCTACCCGCTATCCCACATGTGGGCCTGCCAGTTTGTCACGTGGAACTTAACTTTACAATTATTTATACGAGTAACAGAGATCGTGATTTGTTTGATTTTATTATTTTGAGTCTCGTCACATATTGAGAACTTGTAAGCTAAACGAATCCTCGTTCTTTGCTCGGAGGCACGGTACTGTGAGAGGTAGTAGAACTCAATACGGGCGGACTCATTCTCAACTTTCAACTACTACAAGTTATACTAAATAGGGAGAGGTAGTAGAACTCAAAAAAAAAAAAAAAAATAAAGGATCCAAGGGTCTCTGTTAGAGTCAATCAATCAATGAAGCCATTAATGCTTAGATCCCCTTATCTTTTCCCTGACACGTGATCTGACTAGCGAAGGTGTGTAGAGGAGGCATTGGCATGGTGTTGTCTTGTCAGTCATTTCATTTAATTTGCTTGGTTGACTTACTGCCTCATCAAAGGCGAGCTAATGCCTTCATCGACGGGGCTCGGACGAGGAATATCTGGGTTGAGATCGCCTCGGCATGCACAGGGTCGCCTACCCGCTATCCCACCCGTGGGCCTGCCAGTTTGTCACGTGGAACTTAACTTTACGATTATTTATACGAGTATCAGAGATCGTGATTTGTTTGATTTTATTATTTTGAGTCTTGTCACATATTGAGAAACTTGTAAGCTAAACGAATCCTCGTTCTTTGCTTGGAGGCACGATACTGTGAGAGGTAGTAGAACTCAATACGGGCTGACTCATTCTCAACTTTCCACTACTACGAGTTATACTAAATAGGGAGAGGTAGTAGAACTCAAAAAAAAAAAAAAAAACCTAAGAAAACTGCATCCATGAAATCTATCTTAGCCCATGTTTGACACACATTCATTCCTCGATAATATTTATCAAATACACCCTCAGTGTAAATGGTTTTTATAGGACAATGGCATCGGACATTCTCCTTCAAACTCAAGATAAACATCGTTGGATTTATCAATAAAATTTTTATTTCTTATGGATGAGCTTCATACATCAATCTAATCAAGTCTGGTGACAGAGACGTACCAAATAGCAATTTGCACAATTTGTGGATAAAAATGACTATAATTTATTATATATTTTATGCTCTCGTGAAATATATCATTTTGAGCCATCTAATTAATCAATAGCACAGACTCTGCAGAATTGCTTCACAAAAAATGGGTATCTGCTCAGTAGTTGTTAGCATTTATTAGAAACTATTATTGGTGGGCACATTTATTAGAAGGACTTGCATTGAAATTTTCAAAATTTCTTTGTAAAAAAATAGATATGAAAAGCTATCTTATCTTCATTTGGTTGTTTTGTAGGGATTAAAACTAAATTTTTAATAGATTGTGATAAAAATTTTTGAAATGTGCGGTTAAAAAGATGTGGGATTCATAAAAGATGTGATTAATATTGATTGTTTGTTTTTGATTTGGATTAAAATCTGATTCTAATTCGACACAAACGGGGCCTCAATAAACGATAGACTTGATCCAACATGCTCTAAGTTAAGAAACTCGAATTATATATGATTTATAATCAAGAATTTCAGTATTAGTCCCTATTTGGTGCACATTATCAACCTAAGAGTGTATTTTTTTATGTGATGGGAGAATATGTGGTTAAAAAAAGGAAAAGTTATGAATGTAATGAAAAATATTATTTTATTGAAAAATATGTGGTTGAAAATGAGTAGGAAAATGAGAATGAAAAAAGTAATTTTGCTCAAAAAGGGGGCTTACAATATTAAATTCTGCTACATTTACGGTGTTTTGTGAGCTTTTTTACAGCCCACTACAATGTGGCTTTTTTCTACAATATTATTTTCACTGTAATAAAGAGGAAATTTATAATAATAGATAAGAATTTTATTGGAAAATAAATGGACAAAATTATAAAGTACACTGGTGGTGGTTGGTGAAGAGAGAGAGCCACGAATCCCGGCGGCAACATTGATTTGATTGGATTAAATTCTTATTGGGTTTGGTAAAATTAGCTGCATGATTTGATGGAGCAATCAATGGAACAGTTAGTTTTCCAAATTGAGAAAAAGGAAATACAAATCATTGCAATCCATCCCTCTTGGCTCTTGGGCTTGGCTTTCCCCCACAAACGAGCCAAACTTGCTCGGCTTGTGTTTTAGGCAATCGCGTGAGTCAAATAACGAAAGCTTAGTGCAACTTGTTCGTTGGTTCGCGCGAGTCAATTCGTGGTATTAGTTGTCGAGCATGTTACGCCTCGCCATCGAAACTATAATCAAAGTACAATGTCGCAGTCCACGTGAAAAAAGAAAGTCCATAAAAACCTAATTGATCAAAAACAAATTAGTCAAACAAAGATTGAAACTCATGTGCCGAAGCATTGTCTACATGACTGAAACTTCCAAGTCGAAACGCTGCGTAAGAAATCAAAGAAGAAGCGAAACTCTTCAAACAGAAGATCATCAATACGAAACTTTCTCACAAGATTTGTAGACAATCTTTAAGAATCATTGATGTAAAATTTGTAATAAAGAATGTCAAGCGTGTCAGCCTAATGTATAGGGCTACTGACCCGTTGTCAATATATTTATTGTATGATAAACTTAGTAAAAGTGAGTCTTCAGGCAAGGAGATGAGACTACATGGTTCTGATCCAATGGACATCACGTCTGCCAAAACATTATAAATATGTGGTCTGTGTAAATTATAAGAGGCTTTTTGGATGGTCTTTTGGAACATTGATTCCAATATACAAGAAAACAATCAAGACAAATACTCTCAAGAAAACTTTTTTGCTTTTTCTATATTTGTTAGTTTGATCTTAAATTATTTACACTTTGTCAGTGATTATTTGTTAGCACAATCATCTTAGTTACTATTGTCGGTGCTCAAACACTTTTATCTCACGCCATAAAGCATCTCCCGTGTTCAAACCATTCCCCTTCTCTGTTCGATTCTCTGGTCAAAACACGTTGAAACTTGCTTGAGTTGTTATGTGAATGATCCCGGCATCCACTGTCCACTTTAGCGTCACGTTTTTCATGGTCAACAGAGCATCTTGTTGCAATTTTGCAGTATTCAACAAAAGTTAAATTTCATACGATCGTTCAAATTTGAACATTAAACTTTTTTTCTATTACATTGCAACGTTTTTCCTATAAGAAGGCAATGCCATTGTCTTCAATTTTCAAACATGTTCTGCTCTCATTCTTAAGTGTCGGTTCTGATTTCGTATTTCCTTTCCTATTATACCATTTTCAAAAAAAAAAAAGTTTGTTTACTATCTAGTCTCTACTTCTATATTTATTGTTACATCCACGTAATTAATATAATGATTAGCTTATCATCTTCATCGAAGAAAAATAATTTATTTAGTTTTTTTTTTTTTGTCAAACTTTCAAAGATACAACAAAAGCCAATTGTTTTAAGACGTTTAGTAACATAAAACAAGAATTAAAGTTATTTTTGTAAACTATGGAGGTAATGTTTCTTTAGCCTTTGATACTTTATATTCTGTTGGTGATAACTGATATGCATATTTGGTGATATTATATTCCTCATAAAGAAACTATTTTCTGTCAAACATATTGAAATCGAATTTACCAAACTATTATGTTGCTTAGAATATTGCACGCTCTTTAAAAGATTTTAATTTGATTAATAAAATATTTAGCTTATCTTATACTCCAAGTATGATTAACAGTAGTATTTTACGACATCTATAATGGTTAATTTTTTTTCTTTTCATTCCAGTAGAACATTTGAATATAAATGTTATATTAAATCTTTACGATTAATGGTTCAATCTTGTGCTCGTACATCGGAAGGACATTTAGGTAAATTGGTTAGTACAAAATCGAAAATATGGTGCCGTAACCATCAATTTCAGAAAAATTGAACAGAAAGTAAGACACATCCTTTGATGAACAGGGATAAGTTCGGGTCACTTTTACTGTTTCACACAAAAGTACAATTTCAAACAACAATAGAATCTTACAAACAGAAGCCAAATAGACCCTAATATTCTCTAGCTTAATACATCAGCTCGTAAACTTGAGTTTTAAGTTAATTACTACTTAAACAGTAGCAATTGGACCCAAATTTGGGTTTTCCATGTCCTTCATGGCTTCAAATCTTGGCTCTTTGGCTTGGAATTTGAGACCAGCATAGAGCTTCATGTAGTCCTCAAACACGAATTTTGGATACAAGCCTTTATTCTCTTCTTTCTTTACCAATTCAGGTGCGGGATAGATCACAGCATCACTTCCAGGATTGTAGAATGATGCAAGAGACATCCTATTCCCATCTGTTTGCGCAATCACTCGGTGCAGAACACTCTTGTACTTTCCATTGGTAATCACCTTTACACACAGTCGAAAAGAATTAAGCCTTCAATTATGAGAAAATAATAAGCAAAAGGGAATTAAAAAGAAAGATTTTAGTAGCTTTGATTGTTTGGCATACCTCAAGTTGGTCCCCAATGTTGATGACAATGGAGTGGCGCATAGGTGGCACATCGACCCATTCACCGTCTTTAAGAAGCTGGAGGCCACTGACCTTGTCATCTTGAAAGAGTAGGATGATGCCACCGGCATCGGTGTGTTCTCGGAGTCCTTTGATAAGATCCGGCTGGGGGCATGGGGGGTAGTTGCTGACCTTGGTTCCAAAGGTAGGGCCTTTAGAGCCATAGAATACCTTTTTCAGGTACCCTTGCTCTAGTCCAAGATTTTCACAAAGCAAATCAAGAAGATGCTCAGCCAATTTCTCCAGTTGTGCTGCAAAATCCTTCATAGTCTTCCTGTTATCATTCATAAAAGAATCAACTAAGATCAGATAATCCAAGATAATTGGAAATTACTTATGAAAACTTGTTTGTTTAACTTTTAATTAATAATTAACCTGTATTCATCTTCAAGATCAGGGACTTCTGCTATGTTTGAAACCGGAAGATGGCGGAGGAAAAAGGTACTTTCCCAGTCTAAATCATTGATTTCAGACTGAACAGCTTCAAGTCCCTTACTCGCCACCATTTCCTTGAATCTTTGTTCCATGCATTTCTTGTAGTGTTCCTTTGTCAGTCTCTCCACAGTGTCCATGAACTCGGGAGAAATTCCATGATTCACCAGCTTAATTACAAGATTAACAACCATTAATTAGTACAAAATTAAGAACCCCTTTAGTTTTATGTATGTTAAGTTGCAAATTTAATGAATAACAGAACTTATTATACCTCAAAGAAACCCCAGTTTTCACAAGCATCTTGGATCTTCTCCATTGTTGCAGCCCTTTCTTCTCCATTGAGCTTCTCCATGTTAATAACTGGAAAACTTGCCATCTCTCTCTCTCTCTCTTATTTCTTTAGCTGTGTTTTGAGTTTGTGAATCACAGTGTTGAGGGGTGATCCTGGAGGGTAATTTATAAGGGTTTCCAGGATAAATAAATTTATTAAAAAAATTAAATAATAATAATAATAATAATAATAATAATAATAATAATAAATAAAAGAAAGGAATATTAGGATAACTTATTCAGACATTCAAATCCAAATCTAATAAGTAAGATTATCCAGACAAGACTCGTGGAGCATGTATGTGATCACATCTTCATGGACCCCTACCAGCTTTTTAGTTTTTTCTGTACAAGTTTTAATGTAAGAGTACTGTAGCATGGTCTTTGGCTTTTTCGATCGACCTCCCCCACCCCACCCCACCCCACCAGACCCCCACATTTGTGAGATGTGACCTAACTCAGGCTGGCCGAAACTTTTTCCCATGCACGCTTGTAGTTGTGGGGCTGCTTGATGAAACTGCCTTATAACTTCCTAAATAGAAACGTACAATAATTCTTTATATCTTTGGATTAATTTAATACACGTGTTTGATATTTTAAATAATTTTCGTGCAAAGAAAATTATTTGTATAATACTTGATTGGGAAAGCATAATCAAAAGGCATTGACGTTTCAAATTGAAAATTTACTTTTAATAGTCAAGGTTAAAGGGAAATTATGTTTGATTTTGTCATCTATGAAATTGCTTCTTTCTTACGTTTTGGCCTTTTCTATTATTTTAATGTTTTATTCACTATAAACTTGCTTATAATCATGAAACCCTGATTAAAGATGTGGTTAGAGTTTCCTAATTTGCCTTCCAAACTGTAAGCCATGGTTAAGCATTATTTGCTAAAGAAATTTTAATTTTTTTTGGTAAGGGAGGTAATACAATATCATTTACGATTTTTGACCACTAAATGTGCTATAATTTTAATCAAAACAAAAGTGAACTTTGTACATATTTAGGAGTAATTAGATTACCTCCACCTAAAATGTGTTCTATTTACCATTTTCAAGCCGTTTTCGATTTTTCAAAACAGTGAAAACGCGTTCTCTTTCTTATTTTTAAAAACGCATTTTTGACAAAAATTTAAAAATTTATAAAGAAAACCCAAAACGACAAATTTGTTGTTTTTGGTATTTTCAGTTATAATCAAGTCAAAATTTTCAAAAGGTGTTTTCGAAACAATTTTTCAAAATGCCAAAAAGAACACATTTTCAACAATTTCAAAATGAACACTGAAAACACAAAACTCAAAATGAATTCAAAACACAAAATTTAAATACAAAGAGAACAACCCCTAAAGAATCGTTGGTAGTAGACTAGATGACTTGTGCTTAAAGAACGACTTACAAATTAGCAACCGGGTCAACTCATTAACTTCTAGGTAAGTTGCAAATGCATCTTGAATGCTAATTTGTCAATGTTGTAAAAAATTTCAAAGATAAACGTTGTTGATTTCTTATAGACAATTGGATCGAAATTATAGAGAAATTGCAATTGAAAAAAAAAAAAAAAAAACTATTTTTATATATTGGACTCAACATTTAAGAGACCTGAAAAAATTATTCAAAAATTGTCACTTTTAGAATTATATCCGCACGAGAAATTTGCGTTAATTATCATTATCGACATATAGGCGGCTCACCAAATGTTGTATTGGGTTCTCTTTAATTCATAATTCAGTCTAGTTTAAATTTAAATGCTAACCTTATGGCCTAACAACTCAATTCAAATATTGTTTTGACTTCCATTTTATGAGGAGATAGGTATTTGGATTTTCAAGTCATTATATGTGTAATAAGTCTTGATATACTTTTTATCATCTTATGGATGCAGACAAACTTAACCCTTCCGTGTTTGACCATTTTGATAAATGTCGTTGTTTGTTTTTCATTATTTTCAAAATAAATTTTTTTATCTTCTTTTCAATTACATATTTTTCAACAAAATAATATCACATACAAATTCAAAATTTTCCTTATTTTTTATCCATACATTCTCTATCAATCACTATTCAATATTCATTATTTTGCCAAATAACGAGGCTCAAACAAGGGCATAATCTAACCTCCATTTAGTATTCAGGCCATGTTTATTTCAGATTAAAATCAGATTTTAATCTAAGTCAAAGTTAAACAATCAAATATTAATCACATCTTTCATGGATCCCACCGCTTTTCAACCAAACATTTTAAAATTTTCTATCACATTTTACTAAAAATCTAATTTTAATCCCCACCAAACATCCATTCAATCACATTATAAATGAGCTTTCAATCCCGCCTTATTTGACAAATACTGTTTTCTTCCTTTCAAGATTAAACTCGTGTTTGAATCTCATTCTTTAAAAATTCAATTTTTTTTTATATTCATTTCAATTATACATTTTTTCAGTAAAATAATTTTACACACAAATTCAATTTTTTTTTTTAATACTTTTAACTACGTATTCTTCAAAAAAAAAAAAAAAAAATTATTACAAAATGAATGATAAATATCTGAATAATTAAAGTTTTGTTCTCCCACCATTATTCCAAAACTTTATCGAAAGTGGGAATTTGAAAAGGAAACAATCAATCAAGTGGCAAAATGAGAATAATTGGCTGAGTACACAAAGATGGAGTGTTAGGTCATCCTCTTTTATTTTGTGGTAATCAACAAAGCATACATATCCTCGCGTGTTTTTATCTAATAATGGCAAATTGAAATAGCAGATGTTAATCATAGTAAAAGAATTATGATCATAAAGTTGTTCATCTCCAGTAGGGTTATAGCACAGTTTATGCGGCAACTTTTGATAGGTTCAACTCGATAGATCATGTGATAATGCATTTAAATGAATTTATCATTTAATGACATGTAATTGCCACATAAATTGGTGTTTAACCCCAATGAAGATGAATAACATTACTCTTAAACATATTTCAAAAACATACTGCACCTTAAGCTACCTAACTAGCCCGTTTGAGTCCAATGTAACCAATGCCTAAATTTTTATTTAACATTTAAAAAGAAAAAAGAAAAAACTATCCAGGCACGTAGAAGTTAAGGATTATCGGTTCGTTATGGTAAGAATTTTAAAAAGTCAAAAATTGATTTTGAGACTAAAAACTTATATTTGGCCCCCCATTTTTTAAAAAATTCATTTTCAACCACATATTCTCTCATATAATAATTTTACGCGTAAGTAAAAAAAAAATTCTTCTTTTTTAACTATACATTTTCTAAAAATTACTATTCAAAAATACATTTCTTCCCAAAATGGGGCTCGAACATGGGCAAAATCTATGTTTAGACCTGTTTGTATAACTATCTGAAAAATATTTTGTTCACTTAGAAGAGTTTTTAAATGAAATTGGTCTAGACTAACTTTTTCAAGAAACTATTCTACATAAATCAGAAGCAAAAACCCGCATCCTACCAAACGGGTCCTATATTTAACTTTAGAGCAGAAAAAGCAAGTGATTCAACTAGTAAAAATCACGATGTAAAAAGTTCTTAAACCCTACTTATTCTCACTTTACTTAATTACCCATTATTACTAAAAATTATACACCATTGTAGCTTCTACTTTTTTTTTTTTTTAATTTTTTTATTTTTGGCTCGAAACAAGAGAAAAAAAAATGAAAAATATGCAACGTTAAAGCCGAATATAACTCTTAGTCAACAAGAACCCGACATATTTCGATGTCGAATAATTTGGAAGTAGGTTTAGGTTCGACGAATTTGTAATTTGAACTTTCTTCTTCACTTTCTATTGTGGTCTCCAATTTAGAAAATGCCATTCCTCGGTCACACTTGACCTGTTTAAAGGCCAGGCTCCACCATGATAACTATTGACACAATAAAATATCCTCCGTCCATTTTTTTTAGTAGGTGGGTTTTGTTTTCTTAGCAGAGAAACCATTTGGTATGCCCACCATAAATATATTATTAATAAATTATAAGTAGTTCAGCTATTAACAATTGGAATTAATGTACCTTATCTCCTGTATGGTCATGCAAAAATTCTACATTCCAATAATCGGGCAACAACGAATTCATTGATTGAGACCGTGGACCGTTATCACATGCCTTGTTCAAAATCTATCTTCATCACTCCCTTTCTCTTTAAATTCCAATGCTTCAGGGTAATTTTTTTTTTTTTTTTACATTTCGGAAATAAATAAATAAATAAAAAGATCATATGTGCTCAAGATATAGGAAAATTTGGCATTTGTTAAAAATTGTTCTTGAAATAGCTAATTAAATATTTTGTCAATTGAAAAAATATAATATGAAACTTTCCCCGTTAATTAAACTGCAATGCAGTAATTAACCTTGTACATGTAAAATTTATTGTAACTTCAAACTTGAGACTATCTTAAAAATATTATCGTCAGTGAGGTGCACATAAAACGTTAGCCCGAACTCTAGACTAGCCTGGACTATTTGCCCCGAAAAATTATCCCCCCCAAATTCCTCATAGACATGGTCGGGCCTCACCTCGGTGTTACTACTCTTCATGCCTTTATCTCGTACCTACTAGAAGTTTTAGTCATTCCATGACTGTAACTCTCTACATTGATCCTTATCTAAATATCCAACACTGTACGGTCCAAATCAAACTCCATAAATATAGAGTCCAAGTTCATTATTTAGGTACATTTTTCATAAATTTTCAGTTATGGCCTTTTGTATAAGTTTTCTTTTTGCTAACTTAAGTATCAAATGGGTGACAAGAACACACATCGACGCCTTTATTTTAAGTACCGAAGATTTAATTCAACCTACTTCCAATCATCAACAGAGATACCGTTCGTGCTCATTCCTTGTCCTCAAGCTTGAGATGATACAGGTGCAGATTTTGGTAGCATCATTGGCGCAATCTGTAGAAACACTACCAAAAGCCGTGGTTAATATATGTTTAGGTCTCCTTACAGTAAGTTCATCCGCTCCAAACCAACCTAGGGGACCCTCCGATTCCTCATGCCGAGGATCTCCCTATTCCCCAAGAAGAA